TTTTTTTTTTTTTTTTTTTTTTTTTTTTTTTTTTTTTTTTTTTTTTTTTCCCCAAATCGAGTCCATGTTTTCCCCCATTCCATACTCCAGGAAAAATCCAGTCCGTGTTTTCCCCCATTCCGTACTCCGGGAAAAATCCAGTCCGAGTTTTCCCCCATTCAGTACTCGGTGCGGCGAGCAGGTCGAGTGCGGTGATTCTGGCCCCCTGTTCAGCTCTGGTGAGACCCCAGCTGGAGCGCTGTGTCCTGGTCTGGGATCCTCAGCACAAGAAGGACATGGGCAGCAAGTCCAGAGAAGTCTGCGAAGATGTTCAGAGGACCGGAGCGCCTCTCCCCTGCAGACAAGCTGGGGGAGCTGGGGATGTGCAGCCTGGAGCAGGGAGACGTCATTGCAGCCTTCCAGTGCCTTAACGGGGCTTATAAAAAGGAGGGAAGGGGACTTTTTATACGAGCTGAGTGTGTCAGGACAAGGGGCAACGGTTTTGAACTGAAAGAGGGCAGGTTTGTATTAGATTTATTTAAAGCCCCTTCGCTGGAAGTGTTCAAGGCCAGGCTGGGCAGGGCCCTAAGCAACCTAATCTACTGAGTGGCAACCGTGACCACGGTAGGGGCATTGGTGCTACATATCCTTTAAAGCCTCTTCAAACCAAACCATTCTCTGATTTGTGTATGTGTGTGTTCTTTGATGTTTTACACATGTGCTGAGTGAAAATGACAGCTGGGAAACTGATTTATTGTTGTTGTTTAACCCTTAGTGATTTTAAGTAATATTTTTCGTGACAAAAAATCATCTTTGGTGCTTAGAGGACAGATTTTCTTTTCCTCCTAACTAGTATCAGAGAACTATTTGTAAAAGTACAGGTAGTTTTTAGAGCACACTTGATCATGGTTGAGTTATGCTTTGTTTTCTGACATTGTAATTGCCAGCGTTTCAATCATAGCCTAGAGTATGAAAATGAAAATATAACATGCATTTTTAGTACGTATGCTGGCTGAGAATGGCACACTCACACTACATGGTCTGATCAAAGGGAAATGCACACAGTGGCAAGAGAAGTCTCGACTACCACCACGCCCTGACCTCTGCCAAGGGAGGAGTTTGCCCCACAGCTGGGAAACGCAGCACATGAGCCAACCCCAGATGCCCCAATCCTCACACAGGACACTGGAGCAGGTATCAACAGGGTCAGGAATAGCCAGCATGTTGCACTTGACCGCAGTGACAAAACTGTCCTGTGGACAGACTGGTTGGTGACAGGGTTGGTGTACCAGGTTCATTTGAGAGTGACTTATTTATAGAATTCAAACTAGCACTCCGTGAATCGGAGTTGATGCTTTATTTTTTTTTAAACCCTTTTTTTTTTTTTTAATGCTTTGAATGTGCAGATATAAACGTGCCTTATAAGGCTGGTGCTTGGAAGGATGTTGGTTTTGATCACATGTACAGTATTTAGCTTTTATATATCTGGGTTTGGTGGGGCAGTTGTTGGTGTTGCCTTTTAAGTAATTTTTGCTGGGGGAAAAGGAAGGTAGTAGTATTAAAATGGAAGGTAAGCAGTAGCTGCTAATGTTCTTTTAAAGAGGCAATGCCAACCAGTTTTGTCTCAAATTTATAATGAAGACCTCAGCCATATGGACAGGAGCCACACAGGCATAACTGCCATAAGTGCAGTTACCTGCAAGGAGAGCATGGCATGTCACCAGTGAGAATTAGACTGTATTGTAAAGCCACACTAGAAAAATGTCAGTGCTTGAAGTGCTTTCAAACATCCTTAAACAGACTCCATCACTTCAGAACAAGGGTAACACCCTCCTTCCTCTACTGTACAATAATCACCTATTTGTTTGCTTGATTATAGCATCAAAATACAGGCAAACACTTATAAAAAGGCAGCTTTTTTTGCCAGGTGACACTGAGGAAACACCTGAATTATCTAAAGCAAAATATTTTGTTTAGTTTTTTACTTTTTGAAAGAAAATGGATTTTCTCTAAATTGGCAGGTTTAGTTCCTTTCACTTTCTGCATGTGGGCACTTGAGAATTGTTAGCACAAATGAAGTGCTGCTTAACTATTTAATCTTCCCCTTCTTCTTCCTCTAAAAGTTTTTATTCTGACTAGCTTAAATGATCATGGCTTGGTTTGTTTTGGGTTTTTTTGTGAAAAAGGATGCTTTTAAAGCCGCAGCATTTTTGTTTAGGGTATGCCAAAATGTAAGCAAGTTAAACTGATTTCTTCTAGGGCTGCCAGGAAAATTCAGCTTACTTATGAAGTGCTGTAGACTGGCTGTCAACCCTGCTGCACCTGACACGGTGACTTTTTCAAGAACAAAGTGTGGTTACTCAGCAGGTTCTCAGCTGGAGGCTGCAACTGAGTCAGTGGCAAATGGAAACTCAGGTCCTATACCAATAAGAACTGAACTACTGCAGAGGAAATCTACATCTGGGAACTGTCAGCAAAGCTGATTTTTCATTATTTTCCTCTGCTTACACAAAGACACTGCTGCCTTTAGATAGGTGTTCTTAAGCAGGCCAAAACCGAGCAAAGACTGCGAGCACAAATGGAGATTGACTGGTGGTGGCTTGTAAGAAGAAAACACCAAAAAATAGTTCTGCTGATCATGATGTACAAAGTGTTCACAGCACCCTAAGAGGAGACAAACTGGGGGAATGACTAAATAAATAGGTATTCAAGTGGAAACATAAAAAAAAAAAAGTCACATGAAACCTTATTAATAAATGAAGACAATTTATTATTTCAAGTGTTAATGGTAAAAAAAATTCAGCACAGCTGTTGCATTTAGAAAAGTGAAACTACAATTAAGAAGTACTATGTTCTAGTTCAATAAACAGATGAACCCAATGTTATTTAAAATAGTTAAGCATTATACAGTACATCTTATGAAGACCCGTAAATTAAAGAACTACTTCTTAAATTTAGAGATTAAAAAAATTCTGCATTCACAGCTTTAGCTTCTTTTTTCTTCCACGACCATCAGGAGTACCGTCCATTTTGCGCTTCTGTGCCTGCAAGGTATGGTTTTTTAATAAGTTATTGTGATGCAAAAAGGTCGTAAGCAAGCAATGTGTTTCAAAACAAAGCAGATGGAGATGATTTAGACCCTGTCAGCTTTAAAATGTGATAAACTGCAAATGTATAGTATGGTAAATATGTATATCTTTGCTGTTGCTTTATATTCCCTCAATTCTATAGGAGTGTGATTTCATAGAGGTAAAGAGTGTATAGAAGTAAATAAGGATGTTTTAAAGCTTCCCATTTATGAAAAGGTATTTCCACATATCCATTTAAATGTTCTGTGAACAAGTCTAAGAAACTTAATAATCCACCATTACTAACTTTACTGATTTCTGCACATCTGCCAAGTAATTTGTGCTTCTAAGTTGTTGATACAACAGCTCTAGGCAACAATAAACTGAACAGCAAATCCATGTAAGAAAATGGGTAAAGCTGGTGTTTCCTTTGCAAAATAGTCATGCTTATTTAGCAATACTTTGAATTTAGTCAGAAGAGGGTTGTCAAGCATATATGCTGTTTTCCCAGAAGTGTCTCTAGAAGCCCATTTGTAAACAGATCTGTAGATGATTTAACAGATTATAATAAATCAAAAGGCCAGATACATCTCTGGTGTATTTACCAGAGTAAACCTACAGTTTAGAACCTAAACTTACTTTCCTTTATTTGACATCCTCAACTGTACCAGCTGAACACCAGAATGAACTTCAACTTCCAGCAGCTTTTAACACTGCCCTCTAAGTATCTGTTGTTGCTTTGAAATAACTTCAGGTATCACTTGTCCTAGACAATTGGAAAAGCACTCTGTCTTCAAGTGAGCTTTTCCACAGAAGTGCCTTTTAAATCTTACCGAAGATGGTTTTGGTCCACGTTTCTTCTTTTCTGCCTTTTCCTTTTCTTCCAGTTCCATGTTTTCTCTTTCAATGAGAGTGATTAAAGTATTGCATCTCCTTTGCAGCTCCTGCATTACACAACATATACGATCAGTACCTCAGACAGCCACTCAGTGTAAAAATTGTATTAGAATATTAGAAATGCCGGCGAGGAGCTAAGTGTTTTGCTGTATCTCGTCAGAATAACAAAGGAATTAAGTGTTTTTGGATACTTACTGCCTGGCTTCAGGAGTGGATTTGATCACAGATGTTTGCTTTTTAAGACACTTTTGTATTTAACTCAAATTCATGTTGATTTTGGAAAACAGCACCTTAGAAGTCTGAATTTCTCCTCCCGTAAGACTTTTTAGTTTATCTGCCTTTGCCACCCGCGACAATTGTTGCAAAGTTCGAGAAAGGTAACGTCTCGTTGGCATGCACATACCTCAGTATTTCAGAAGCTATTTAATTAGCCTGGGGTACAACCATTTTGTCATAGGCATTCATGAACAAAAAAGATTAATATATATATATATATACCATTGCAGTTCTGGACTTGAGAAACCAGTCAAATCTGAATTGCGGCGAGTTTCGGATACATTGTCTTAATTCATCATAGACATTTTCCTTATCAAATCCTAGTTTGTGAAGCATACAGATCAGAAAGCGATCTTCCTCTTCAGTGTAATTCTTCCCTTTATTAGTACCATATGATATTCTTAGTTGGTGGAAAGGGGCTTTATATCTCCCAATCTGAACAAAACAAATAAGACCATATAAAGCTAAGAAAAAGGTCAGAATTAGCATGGAAGTCTTTTGTATGAAAGCAATACATGACATGAAGACAGAAAACTGGATCTAAGTCACCAAAAGTAAAGGACTGTAGGTTCAGGACAGTGCATTTATCAAAGCTAGCTAAACTGGCAAATTCTGGTTTAGACAACAGACAGCCTTGTGATCTTCCAATTAATGGCAGACTCCAGATCTATCACTATGTTTGAAAACAGTCAAGATCTGTCAGTATTGAAATGGCAATGATCCTTTCTAACACAAATCCTCAAGAACTGTCAGACTAAAAGTGAAAAGGCACATGAGACCAGCACACGGTTCTGCTGCATCCTGGTTAACTGAATCTGACACTTGTTCTTCCCTAGAAGAGAATTAATCTGGAGAGAAAACTCTGATAAACTGTCTTAATTTACTACAAATCTGTTCACTACCAAACCCTGGCTGGTGAAACACTAACCAGAATGGAAGGATTCTCTGCTTGGTAAGTCTTCTCTTCTAACTGCTCTAAACATCTTTATATATATACATATGATCTTGCATTTTCAGTTACATGGGTCCAAAAGAAATCTACTTCTTCCAAAAGCAGGTAGTTACCAGGAGTTTGTTATCCAGCACTATGAACTGTGTCCTGTGATACAGATTACTGTTACAAACAACAGGTTAGGTCATATCTAAAGTTGTCATCACATCTGTCTGCCAGGACAACATTGCTGTGGGATGGAAAAGCTATAGGAAACAAATGCTGAGGATTATGCATAAGAGGCAAATGTCATGCCCAGCATGTCTTCATGTATCAGTAGCAGTGGCCAGACATAGAGTCCTGTTCTTCTCCTCACTGGCACCAGCAAATAAAGCAAGCAAGAAACAAGCCAACTCACCTTTGTGTCCAGTGCCTTTTTTATGCTGATCCGTCTCTGAATTCTGGCTTCTCCTCTTTCAATCTGAGCCATGATCTTTTCTATGTCTTGGAGTTCATTGCATCTTTCCCAGAACACAGCTAAGTAAAGAACAATTCACTAGTTTCTTATCATGCATATTAAAAGTTAAGAGGTTTCACCTTAAAAAAAGATGTTAGCTGTTACTTCCTTTTACCAGAGCTCACTGTTGTATAGCAACAGGCCCTTCCCCAATAAGAAACCTCTGCTTCCTAATATCATGGGGTTGCAGTATTACAAATGCTACTTTTCAAGGGTTAGATACAGGAGTCCTCAGGTTAAAAAAGGTGTGATTTGGCCAGAAAGGTTTTTGTGAGCCAGTCTCCTTATCAAGAGAAAAAAAGCTGCTTCAAATGGAAACTGATACAACAGCAACACAGTTGTACAGAGGGAAGAGGGAGGGCAACTGAGTGGCCAAAGACAAGCAAGTGCCTAAAAGACAATTAGGTGTTTAAATAAACAAGGCCTCAGGTTACAGAACCCAATGGTCATTGTATGTTCATTCATGTGTTTACTGTGTCCCACTCCTGAGGAGGGGGTAAAGGTTAACTACTAGTTAGGGAACACATGGCAAAGGGTAATCTCTCCAGCTAAGCGCTGCTCCTCAGCGTTTCCTTTTGCAAAAACTCACAAGTGAAGACAGCACTATCCAGTTAGATTTAGGATATAGTGAAGTGGATCAGCAATAGTTTACATGTGCAGTTTAGTACGGCCTTAATTATGCAGGGGCTAGAGATGGTAAAATCCAGCTGGGCAGATCTGAAATTCATCAGTATAATTCTACCCTGAAAATCCTAAAGAGCCATGTAAGTAATTCCCAGAAGTAAGATGTTAACATGTTCACAAGCAGTTCAAAGGAGGCAAGCAGTGTTAGATATGGAATCACAGAGCTGACTGAAGAACTGAGTTACCTGAATACTCAATGACTTCCTCTGGGGTTTTTCCTTCTACTTCTCGTGCTATATTTTCAATGTCATCACGGCCCCACTTCTCATTGGCTTTGATGAACTGGTTGAAATCTCTCTTATTCCAGTTAGTGAAGCCCTGTATAGCAATCAAGGAAACATTGCACAGAGGTTCAGGATTTGTCCGTCTCCAAATTCACTTCAATAAGGTTTCTTTAAACCAACTGTAACACCTCCATCATTCCAACAGTGTTAAACCTGTTCTTTCTCTGCAGTTTAATTTAGTAGGAAAACTGTTTTTATACTGCAGTCTCTGTAGTCTATTTAAATATTGCATATTGATTACTATTGGTTCACAGGTTTCAAGTAAGAGTTTTCAGCTTGTAAATTAATCCCTCCTCCTAATAATCTCTGCAAGGGGACAAGGGATCACCTTCTTGGAGGAAAAACTGCTCATTCTTGGAGGAAAAAACTGCTCAAGTGAAGCAAGTGGTGACTGCAATGGTTTTATCAAAAAGGCCCACCAAAGTGCCTCAAAGACACCATCAGCCACTCTACCTGGTCACTCTCCCTCAGAAGGTCCAAAGCTGTCTTGTGATGATACTAAGTAGGGACAGAAGTAGCACTGCTGAAGTCATCAGCTGCTAAAATAGGCTTATTTCATATTATCAATAACTTTGACAAATCATTGGAAGAAATAAGTTCTGTCAGCCTTGTTGTGATTTAGCCTCAGCTTACTGCACTGTACTGATTCCTGACCTCTGTGAGTCTGCTGGCAATAGTGAGCTGTTCCGGCACATTACTACTCAACCAAGAGCACTACTCACTACCAGATGTAGTTTTAGGAAAAGTGACCATTCATTCTCTGGGATTCACTTCTCCGTGGAAGTGAAACTGTGGCAGAAGATTTGCATTAAATAATGTGGAACACAGCACATCCAGCTCTGCAGTGAGTCTGCAAGAACCCACAGCCAAGGAAATATGTCACAGTCTACAACCAATGCCAGCTTGGGAAGCCAGCCTCTGATTCAGGAGTACAAGTACACTAATTTGGTGCACCTTCTTCAAAGGCATCCAGGCCCACAACAAACCTAATGCCAAAACTCTTCTCAGTCAGAGACAAAATCTGCAGTTGTGTTAACTGCAGCATGTGTGAATCAGTGACCAAGAAACATTGCCATAACACTGTAAAACACAGAAAACGCTTCAGTTGATTTCGGTCTCACTGAAGACCCAACAATACCTGGGTTAGAAGCTTCTCTTTTTCTTCAAGTTCTTCATCATTAAGAGGTTCAGCCTCATCAATCTTAAGCTGCTCTTCCTTTTGTGCTTGGGCTGAATTTGGGAGATCGGGATTACGAGGTACCTGAAAGGTTTTGCATCTTGTAAAATTTGTTTGATTTTTCACAGATTGTCACTTTTCTGTTAATATAACCTAATAATTTCTTCAGCTCAACACTATTTTATTTCATTTTAATTGTTGTGGAAGGCAGAACAGGTACATATTCTGTTGTTGCAGTAAACTCTTAGGTGTGAATTCAGAGAATCACATAAAATGATCTGGGTTGGAAGAGACTGGACTTTAAAGGTCATCTCATTCCAACTCCCTGCCATGGGCAGGGACACCTTCCACTTAGGCTAGGTTGCTCAAAGCTCCATCCAACCTGGCCTTGAACATTTTCCAAGGATGGGGCATCCACAGCTTCTCTGGGCAACCTGTGCCAGTGTCTCAAACACTGTCACAGTGAACAGTTTCTTTCTAAGATCCAATCTAACCCTACCCTCCTTCAGTTCAAAGCCATTCCCCCCTTGTCCTGTCACTACATGCCCTTGTACCAAGTCCCTTTCCTGTAGGCCTCCTTTAAGAGGCTGCAATCAGGTGTCCCTGGAGCCTTTTCTTCTCCAGGCTGACCAACCTCAACTGCTAAGAGAGGTGCTCTATCCCTCTAACCAAGGAAACTCTTCCATTACCTTGTAACCAATTGTTTTCCTGTAGTAGAGAATCTCTTTTTCCAACAGTTCAAACAGGCGAGGAGGAAAGAACTGGAAATCCTGTACATTTGGCTGTTTTGGAGGCCGTGGTGCCTGAAATACAAAGTTTGTATTTGACTCCCTTTCACATCCAGAACCTGCTTGCTTGTAAGAACTGATTTCAGTTTATGAGCAAAAAACCCAAAAAAAGTCTTTATTGTTGCAAAAAATGCACTGCCTTAAATTAAAAAAGGCCATGCAAGAGACAACTACAACTACGAAGAATTCTAAAACACCTGTGAGAGAAAGGGAGGAGGGGTCTTTTGGGAGAAGGAGGTGGCTGGGGAAAGTCACACATGCATCCCCCTGAACAAAGGGCGTTTGAAGCAGCATTAAGGAAATCTTTCAGAGGTAAGGAAAATTGACAGCTGCTTAAGTAAAAACAAGAAAAAAGTTGATCTCACTCTCCTAACATCCAACAAGTTTCATCCTGCTCTTACTTTTTTCTCACAGAAGTTTGTCTCAAGTCCTTTGGATTGTTTCTAAGTTTAAATTGTCTCCACAATTTACAAAAGTGAATAGTGCAGTTTTTATGAAAAAAGACCAATGTGTCGCTTACAGCTTGAACCATTTACCAAGCATATTTCAACAATTTACTTTTTTTAATTATTCCACTCACCTTGGGTGCTTTTGGTTCACTGACTCGAAGAGCCTCTCTGAAATAAGCATCCACAGCATAATTGGCTTTTCTTTCTCGTTTAGGTGGTTCAATCCACTCTGTAAATGCCAACTGTAAAAAACAAAACCCACCACCCCAAAAAAGAATACTAAGTCATGCAAAATATTCAGACCAGCTACAAGTTTTATATAAAATTATATCTACATCTACTTCATTGTGTTAGAAATGTTTTAATTTAAACTACTATCATAGATGACACCATATTTTACCCAACACCTCTTAAATGTACAATTAAAACATGCAATTTAGTGCATTCCTCCGAAAGAAACTTAAAACATTACCTTCTGTTTTTCTCTGTAGTCTTCCCCTTCAAAATTATACACGCTAGATTCAGTATCCATAGTAAAATTCCTAAGGGAGCTTTCACCCATCTTTGAAAGTTTTTCGTTCATTTCCGCAGTCTTGGACGGGGGACACAGAAAAGAACAGTAGCCATTTGGATGGTACTTCATTATTTAACATCTCATTCCCAGACACAACGGGAGGCATTTTGGAAGGCACGTCATTATTAAACACCTCATTCCCAGAAAGGAGCCACTCTGAAAGGTACTTCCTTTTAAAACATCCCATTGCCAGAAAGAAGAGCAGCCATTCTGGAAGGCACTTGATTATAAAACATCTTATTGACAACATCAGAGAAAACAAACATGACTGACCAGCATGACAACCCTCCATAGCAAAACCCCTTTTCTCTCCAGCTTAGAACCAGTTGATCATCCAGGGATACACTATCTTGCCATGACATTTAAATCTACAGGTGGCCTTCCCCTTTTCAAACTTTCTCACCTTCTTTGCACCTCTTTCCAAAATGTGATCAATATCTTCATCTGTAATCTCGCTGTCCTTTGAGGCAAACACATGTGTCGCTCCATGTCTAATCATTTGCAGCATTTCATCCTTTCCAAGTTTATTCAGGTTTTGATCTACCAATCTTCCTAAAGATAAAAACACTCAAGGATAGCAACTAACTAAAAAGTTTGTTATGGAAGGAGCAATACATGTTTTTTCTCCCCCTTACATTTCTGCATTCAAGCTATATCCTTTCAGTAAAGGAAATTCTAAATAAAGAAACTTTTAAAAAAGTGTACAAAATAAAGAGCAAGTAAAATCTAGCCAGGTTTCAAAGATATTTGCTATATTATACATTAACTGTGTTCAGTATACATAGTTTTGGATACTAGGTCTTTCGACACGACAAAAGGAAATAGCCTCAAGTGCACCAGGGGAGGTTCAGGTTGGGAAAAATTAGGGAGAATTTCTTCACAGAAAGAGTGGTTAAGCATTGGAACAGGCTTAACCTGAAGGCAGTGGCGGAGTCACCATCCTTGGAAGTGTTCAAGAAATGACTGGATGAGGCACTTGGTGCTATGGTTTAGTTGGCACAGTGGTGACTGGCCAAAGGTTGGACTCAATGACCTTGGAAGGCCTTTTCCAACCTTAATGATTCTGGGATTCTGTGATACAAGCTTTGCTATGGTGCATATTTTCACAGTTTCCAGACTAAACCTCAATTGATTTTCTTTTCAGAAATACAAGTTCCTGATTCTAATCAAGCCAACCAAGATTACATTATTTCTCCCCATCTGTTGGAAGAAAAAGCATTCATTCCTCCAATTCAAAGGAGAAGCTGAGCACTTAAAAAAAGAAAAATCAGACTATATCCTCTTGTACACATACATCACTAGAGAGGTAATCAAAAAGTTAGTGAGGAAATGCCTACTCCTACAGTAAAATAAATTTTCAAATGGATGAGCCCTTTGCACTCTCTCTTCAGAGCTCAGCTGAGGCAGAAGCGACATTGACTGACTCTTCCTAGCTGATTCCACCATACTTTACAATGGGAAAAAAACAAAAAAGAGAATCCCATCACAGATCCAAACTGTCTTCCTACACTTGCCTTGCTGAATGACTATGGAGTCCAGCCGGAGTTTCATCTCTGCACGTTCCACTATTCTTTCCTCCACTGTATTGTCTGTAATAAACCTGAACACTCGAACAGTCTTGGTCTGGCCAATTCTGTGTGCTCGATCCTGGGAAAAAAAAAAGTTACAAAAAAATTCAGGATTTGTTTTCCAGCAACATACTAATTTACAAAACAGAATAGCACAGGTTAGTTAAATCTTTACAGCCACCCATGACAACCCAAGTCATTACATTCTTACTGACATTGCAAGTTTTTTCCAATAACATCGACAATGAGTTTGTCTCCAGGTGTCATACCAAAAAACAAGTGTTTGGGGTTTTTTGTTAAATCACCCAGGGGAGAAGACTGGATGCTCCTGACCTTATGCAACCTTCTGTAAAATCAAAGTACTTAAGAAATCATCTTTGTACATACCAAAGGCTACATTTTTCAAGATCCTTCAGTTATGCCATGAATATTTCAAGAAGAATATGATGCACTGCCTCTGACTGGCAAAACATGAACTACTGTGAGAATCAGTATTCTGAACATACACCTGTAGCTGGAATCCTCTCACTTGAGTTTATAGACACCAGTTCCATCATTCTTTCGAACCTGTTTTTGCTAGAATACTTGAGAATCTACAGCTTAACAGAAATAATTAGAGTAGCATATCCCCAGCATTTCCTACTGCATAAAACATTGTACAGCCAAAATGTGACTAAGGGTTTCACACAGTGGAAGCTGCACTGGAAGTGAAAATCAGTCTTACTACTACTCCCTGAGCTAAAATGGCAAAATACTCATTTATCTTGAAAATGCACATTTCTAGGAAAGTTCCGTGAGAAAGACAACAAGAACAAAATCCCCATCTCGATTTTTACCATAGCTTGAAGGTCTACTTGTGGATTCCAGTCTGAATCATACAGAATTACGACATCAGCAGTAGCCAGATTGATTCCAAGACCTCCTGCCCGCGTACTCAACATGAACACAAATTTTGAGCTGTCAGGATCGTTGAAAGCATTAATGGACGCCTAAAATAAATTATAAGAACACATCAGTTGAACCCAGTGTTTTACAAGCAGCGTTTTCACTTAAATAAAATATGTTAAATTTTAAATACCTGTCGTTCGTTGTGAGGAGTTTGTCCATCCAGTCTGCAATACTCGTAATTTCGCCACATACAGTAATCTTCCAAGATATCCAGGACTCTTGTCATCTGACTGAAGATTAGAACTCTTGAGCCTGTTTGAGTAAAAAGGTTTCTTATGCTTTCATCAGAACATAAGACTTATCTCTGCAGCTCTGCAGAAAAGGAAGGAGGGCAATTTTATGTGCCAAGAAGAAAAGTAGGTAGAATTTCGGACCCTGAACTACAATGCAGAGCTGCAGCTGTCATAGCAGGGTCCTGTGCTTGCCATGGGACGTGTTTGCCTCACTATGATATGTCATTGTCTAGTTAGTGGCTGCCTTTTCTCTTTTGTTTTCTGTTTTACTCTTTAACAAAATGTTCCCAGACACAGCAGAGTAAGATGATGGCACAAATATAAAAACAAGTATAAAGAATGAAATTTTGAACTATTTGTTTGTTTGGGATTTGAGATCCCTAGAAATAAGTTGTTCTTAAAGACTTGTCAGTTTACTTACCTGCCAAGAACAACTTCAAAAAAAAAGGTAAATGTACAGTAATTTATGCATACACACAAATCCATTTCCAGTCTACTGGGGAGATTTAAGTAAAACCACTGAATATTAAAAAGCTTCCACTTCCCCCTGTATTCATTTCACATGATTTTGGTTTTTTGTCCTTTGGACTCAAGGGCTGATAATGAACTCTCTTGTTTAAGATGACCATTTGATTTGAGACCACGACAGTATTAATTGCAACATGTCATCAGTTAGCCTCTCAGCAGGAAGAAACTAAGATCCAAAAAAGCACAGTAACCACTGAATTGTTCTTTTTTTAGTCTTACAATCAGTTATATCACCACAGCTGCCTGGATGATACACAGACACAGGTTACCTTTATATTACTGAAGGCTGGGGTTTGGATGTGATTTTTCTACAAAGTGCCCCCACTGACAAACTTACCTCTACTCCTTTAGCCAAGTTACTTCACTAAGCATACTAATAAAATAAAGAGTTAGAAATGTATTTTTGAGTCAGAAACTCTGTGGCAAGTGAGTTTTACAGTAATGCATTTCTGAGCTTTGCCCTACTACCAAATAACTTTAAAAAAACAACTCAGAGTCCCTCCCGTCTGAGTGCCTTACAGAATACAGTGAAAAACCTCAGGTGCTGCTCAAAACCATACCCAGCAAGAAAGACCCATGTTTCATAAAGGATTTGACTGTAACCTGATATGAAGGCTCTGAATTTGAAATGGTGCTTCATGGCAAATCAAAGGAGTGGCTAAAATACCACACAATGATGTTTCAAATAGCTAACAATGTTAAGAAAGAAAACCTAAAGCCCGGAACAACTGACGTTTCTGTAGCCTCAATTTAGCTGGGATGAAAAAAGACAAAAAAAAATAGCAGGGAATCAAAACACTTCAGCACAAAAAGCCATAATGGACTATTATTGATCCGATTATTTCTGAAGGCACATCACAATCTGGTTTTGTATTGTCTTTAAGATACAGTGCTTGATAAGCCAGTATTCATATTAGAAACTAACAAAAATCCTGGCTAAGGTGTGCTGGTTTTTGCTCAGTATACATGGAAGCACTAAGCAGCACTGACTGTCATTTTTATCACTGAACCAAAAATCTAGAAGCAGGATGCATACCTTGTTCTTTCAACTTAGGCAGCAGTTTGTCCAAAACCACCATTTTGCCACTGTTGGTGACCAAATGCATGTCTGTTGTGTAGGGTGGGCCGGGTTCTGCCCCATCAAAGAGGTAAGGGTGATTGCAACATTTTCGCAGCTGCATGAGGATGTTCAGCAGTCTCATTTTGTCCAGCTTCCCAGCTGAGTTCAGGATATCTATATCCTTCATCAAGATCCGTGTGTACCTATGTCAAAGGGAGGAAAAACTTCTGTAACTCTAAAACAAAGTTGGTCTTTCTTTAAATAATAGTCAAAAGCCCACCCTCCCCCTCGTTTCACCAGGTTACTCTCCCTGATATGCATGGTTTTGTCATCACAGAAGTGTCACAAGGAAACACAAGTTGGGAGTACACCAGGAAGCATTAAATCAAGTTCCACACAATCTTCAAGTCACGAACAGCACATTCCTTCTTGAGCCTTAACCACGGCCCAGTCAGGCATGTGTATTAATTACCATTCTCTTTGCATTTTGCTGAGGCCCACATAAATTTTAACTTCCTTCTTTGGAGGCAAGCTCTTCTCTACATCAGCCTTAATGCGACGTAGGAGGAATGGTCGTAGCACCTGAAAGAGGTTGCATCCTTAAATGTATTTTGGAAACTGAAACACTGATCAGGTCAAGAAACAAAACACAGTGCAAATATTCTCTACCACAGAAGCTCAAATATCAAACTTACTATCAGACAATCTGAAAAAGCAACCAGTATGGACAGATTATTTGCTATACACAGGACTATACATGTCCTTTCCTTGGAAGACTTAGAGATTAGGTCAAAATCATCTTTCAGATGGTTCTATGCCCCTTGATTTAATTTTCCTTCACTGAAACATTTATAGTCTCTTCAATAGCCAATATCTTTTATTTAAGCATTTCAGAACCCTAAGAGCCAGAACTAGTGACCCTTCTCTCCTTTCCAAAACAATTTCCTTTCTAAGGAAAAAAAATCTCCTGAGCTTTGCAAACCCATGCTAAAAGTCTATCATAGTTTCAGGAATAATCTACGTTATCCTAATATTCTATCCCAATAAGCATTAGGAGAATTGTTTAGAATCTAAGTAGGGTTACTGTAACTCTTGTACAAAAAGCAGAAAGACTCACCATATGAAGGCGCTCTACCAGTTTTTGATCCCCGAGACAATTGTTTGTATCAAACCATGAATCAAAGTCCTGCATCAACAAAATCATCAGTTTGTAACAGTCTTCCTTACAAGGTGCAGTGTCATCACAACGGTGAAAAAATACAATGCAAGCGATTCTCTTATACACAGACAGTAAGTAAAAGAACAAATTTCCCTATTTGGCCTATTTTTATGAAAAGCTGTCCAACACAAACATTTCTAACTGTCAGTCTACCATTTATCAGTAGCTGACCCTCCTAAGTATTCAGGTCTATTTTCAAATTTGGAAAACCAACAACATTCTTTTAATTTGATTAGCAGAAATGAAGACTTACTTCAGCTGAGTTGAAGACATCTGGCAAAAGGAAGTTGAGAAGTGCCCAGAGTTCATGTAAGTTGTTCTGAAGTGGAGTTCCAGTTAATAGCAGCCGGTTTGTAGTCTTGAATTCCCTCACAATTTCTGATAACTGAGGGATATTGAGACATGAGCCAACATTACTAGTCACCACACCACCACCTAATGACTCACATAAATCTCTCTCTCAGTGCAAACATAAATTACCTTTGATTTTTCATTTTTAATCCTGTGGGCTTCATCTATAACGAGATATCTCCAGTTGAACTTTTTGAATACTGACTTCTCTTTGATAAGCATTTCATATGATGTTACACACACATCCCATTCGCCTGGCAACAACACATCTCTGACAAAGGCAGCCTAGATAACAACGTGACAGTTAGTTACTGAGGCTTAGTCAAATCTAAACCAAAAAAGAATACAGTAGCACTGTTAAAATTTTCCTATTTTAAGATTCATTGGGTTTTGTTGGTCTACAGGGTGTACTGCCTTTACAACACGAGAGAGCAAATCTTTGGACAAGGAATTACAAAGTGGTGAAGCAACAGCTGGGCAACACACGTGTGAAATTCAAGCTTATATTACTAACATTGTAGTGGTCAGACTCTAAGTAGGTCTTACTGTTTAACCACTACAAATCCAAGTAATAACCTTCCCTGTGAAGGAAAGGTAAAGGACAGCAAGATCACATGCTGCATTCTCATAGGATGACATGGGAAAAACCACCACATCAAAACTTACTCGCTGGTCTTTGTCCCCGATCAAGCAAACTGCTCGAAGTGTTGGAACCCATCTCTTAAATTCATTCATCCAGTTCTGCAGGGTGGACTTAGGGACTAACACCATGTGAGGCCCAGGAATATTTCTGTAGTGTTTCATATAGCCAAGAAGAGATATTGTTTGCAGTGTCTTCCCAAGGCCCTGTAAAAACACATTCATGTGTTATTAAAAAAAAACCAAACCAAAATTCTCAGAAAACACCTTTAAGAAAAGCCAGGAGTGAGCTCTGACTGCAGCACGAAAGACACAGCAGCCTGAACAACAGAGTGAGATGTATTTGAGACAGTGCGACTCACAAAGGGCATCCAAGTCTTGCTTAGGAAAGTGGCTTCCCATGTTTAATTTAAAAAAAGTAGTAAAAGTAACATTTTCAAAACTTAGATTATGAAGTCAGAATTTTGCCTTATCTTTCAAAGAAAGTTAGAAGTGCAAGGAAACGTTATTTTATAAAATTTTGGTTTGTAGACTGATGTGTTATTTAGATTATTTAGAGGTCAAAGTTTTCAAATTGGACATGTGTATTCTCTTAAACTTGAAATAAAGTGAATAAATTAAGAAACCTTAGACTTCTTAATTTATTGAAATATTCATTATTGTTTATAATTCACTTTACTAATATTTTACATTTTAATATTAAATTAATATTTTATAGTAGTGATTAAGTTCTTAATTTTCAAGAGCAGGCTTTCACAGGCCAAAAATGACATCAGTTTCTGTGAGAAGAAAGCCAAACAAATACAAAAAACTGCACGTTAAAGAAAACAAGTACTTAAACTGTTTGGTTCTTTATTCAGCAGAAACATTTAAAACCTTCTACCTTCAGCATATAATTTTAACTAAAACAAAACAGAGGAATACCTTCAGAAAAACAGATCACTCCTGTAATGCAAAATAATTCAAAAATATCATGACTCAAATGCATGGGATATAAAAAAACCCTGAAAACCATCAGCACAAGTTATTTCTGGTTCTAAAATTCAAGTATGTCTTCAAAACAACCACAGCTCGGTGCAAGATGTGGAAAAGTGTTTACAAGCTGTGTAAAAAGCATTAATAACTTCAAAAGGACTAATAATGAATAAAAAAATACTTAATAATAAATACTTTAACTCCTCAACACAAGATAGATTTTGGAATACCACACAACCAAGGACTTAAAAAGCTTCTCAGTTATTTTTGTTAAAACAAACCTGCTCCACTTAGAACTGTATTCAGCCAAAAAAAAAAACCACAACCAACTCCTCTATTCATAAGCATGTACGTTGAGGAAAATCCTTGATATATTTCAGAATGAAGCATATTACTAAACAATAATTTAAACTCATTTGTGTCTAACTTATCTTGAAGATGTTTTATTACACAGACATTACAAGACATGGGAAACACAACATACTGAAATTAGATTTTCTCTTTTTTCTGCTCCTTATAAGAGGACAAAAACATATCTGCCTGTGAAACTACTACAACTTCTCCATTCACCCCTTGACTTTCAGAGGGGAGGGGAAGAATAAAAATAAGAAGCAAAGGCTACTATGGCCAGTTCTGAACGAAATGTCCATGATCATGCTGTATAAGAAATTTTAACACAGGTCTCTAGCTACATCTATCTTTGCATCATTTTTCCCAGGAAACTTCCCACTGCCGTAGCTCTTGCTGTGGAGATCAGTCCACTTAGGACACTCATATCATGGTATCTACATTTTGCCCTAACAACAGGAGGTGTTTCCTCATTTATTGCTCTTTTCATATATGACACTCTCCTCACAAGGGCAGCTTGAAAATACCATAACAAAATACCTGCAATTTAGAGAAAAAACCATGTCATTCTATGGAAAGACTCCCTTCCATCAAGTTCATGTTTCTAAAGTTTGATAGATTCCCTTTTCATATGCCCATTTCAAAACCTGCATGCACAGTTTATTTAAATTAAGACACCTGTGACACTTTTAACATTAGTGACTTAAAAAACACTAGAAAAAAGGGAGTTGGCAAATTATATACTGCATTTTGTGTTATTAAAAATCCCATATAGGGACTAAAATGGGCATGGGCATACAACAATGGACATGTTGTATTGCCTGTGTTCTAAAGTCCTTAGAAACACGGGCTATGTCCATACCATTTCATCTGCCAGGATGCCATTGATGCCGTTTTCATACAGAGAAATGAGCCAGTTCAGTCCTCGGATCTGGTAATCCCGCAGCTTTCCCCATTTCACATCTAAAAGACACAAAAGAATAGACTAAATGATCTACAAAAACTTATGAAAGAATGTCACCATCCGTTGGCTGCTCCTTGACAGTGATTATCAAAGCTACAGAACAAAAACAAGTAACAAATTCACATAATAAATTCAAGGGCAATGCAAACTGGAGACAGCAACATGGTAATTTTGTTTCTGCAAGCTGCTCCAACAGCTTTGTGTTTTGCAAGAACCACAGCACACAGAAATTCTAACTCTTATCACCACCCTCCAAATCTGAACACAGCCAAACATTAAAACACTAATACTGAATTCCATTAAATGAACTGGATGCTGTTAGGTACTTTAAATTATATCAGAATATAGGTTACACATGTAAAAAGGGGAAGATGACAGACTTAACTCTTTCCTAGTAACTGAAGTATAGGAACTGGATTTCTTAAGGAGAAGACTCGTTGGACCATCTTTCTAGACCGACTGAAAATAAACAGTCCCTCACTAATACATTTTGTCCCTCCTTCTTCTCCTCCTGTCCCCCAGATTATTTCATTATCCTCAGGGAGGATGAAAACAAAGTTCATTTTAACCAACATTTTGAAGAAAAAGAAGAGCGGCAAAAAAACACCCAAAAAACCAGGAAACACACATGATGGAGATTCTTCAAATCGAGTGCAGACATTGGTTGTCTTGGAGCTTTCCGTTAACAGCTCCTCGTCTTCTTCCTGCTCTGTCCTACGATGCCGGTAGCTGGAAAAGTCCAAGAAAGTAGTAAGTTTCTGGCTTTTCTTCATGCTTTAGCATCAACACAAAACTCTTTTAACTCCCAGAATTCTCAAACAACCCTCAAATTACAGGTGGGCAGTTAAAAAAAAAAAACAACAAAAACACACATGCTAAAATAGGACTAAAGCGGAGTAATTTAAACAAACACTTCTAAAGTGCAATAAGATCTGAATTACAGTACAAGTTGGCCTGTGTGCCATCACTCACTCGCCAGCTGACAGTAAATTCTGTTTCTCGTCCTTCTTTATTCGTGGACGTCCAGGCTTCATTTTTAAAGGTGAAGTTGGAGTTTTCTGAGCAGCAGGCTGAATGAAATGAGCAAAGAGCTCAGTCTGCTTCAACAGATACTCAAATCTGTTTGCTCTGTCTGTTTGCTGTTGACAAGGGAAAATTAAATGGAACAACTGTGAGACATGAAAGTATGTATTTATTCAAAAGAAAAACCTAACAAATACTTTTTAAACAATCCAGATTCACATTTCTTTATATACATAGCAACACCACCAAAGAAAAGATGGTTAACATCAATATAACTGCTGCTGACAGATTCTATATTCTTTTTTTGGGCCAAGGCTTGCCTTTGTTACCCAGCAAGATCAAAGGACAGACCTGCACCAAGAATGAAATATGACTTTGGTACCAAGATTGCACCAGTCTCACTAGATAAGGCCAGAGTCCCCTTAACAACTTTATCCTATCAAAAGTTATAGTCCAACTCCCAGAAATTTACCCCCACCTATCACACACAGGATTCTTCAATGAACTCATTCATCTCACCAACCTGGTTTCTACTGCGTTAGTGTCCTGCCTGCTCAGCGAGATAAACCACCTCACTGGGGTGTCAGATAAACAGCACAGCAGCTGAGCTAAAAGCCAGAACATCTATTTCAGCAGCAGAGGCCTTAGATATGCTCAGCCTAACTTGTCAGGCTGCCCCCTTTGATATGAGTTGCTGTTTCTGCTGTGCAAAAGAGATTACAGTAGAAAATATTAGTATCCAAAAGGCTCAGTTTCTTTGAGACAGGTTCCATTTGGAATCAACACACCTTCCCAACGCCACATCATAACTTTGAACAGACAGACAAAATGGAAAACAGCTCCAAGGTTAACAGAACCACTCTGACACTCTGCCAGCTGCCACAACATAACCTGGTATTTAGCAACTTGCAGCAGTTAGAGGAAGTCAGTTTTCTTAGTAAAAAGGAACATATGTTCCAGACTTCTGCAATGCCAGCTCTGTGAGTGTTCTCCTCTTTAAAGCAAGCAGACCCTGCACTATGTAAGAGACAGGAAGACAAAGTGTTAGAGAATAAGACCTGGAAAGAGGACTGTGTGTACCACAGAGGACTCAAACTCACTCTAACTTTAGTTTAAGCTTGACTGATACAGCTACAATCCACATCCATTACATTTAAGTTTTCCTATATATTCCTCACAGGTTTTGCTTGTTTTTTGTTTACTTCGCAACAGTTTAAACTAGGTAAGATCTTACTATTATCCAGATTGCTAACTCTTATTTTAAAGTACTTTTTTCATTGACTGTACCAAAACGAAGAGCTCAGCCTGCACTGCAGAAAGTTCCTTGTTCTAAAACTTGAGTGAGGAATCTTCCAGAAGTTTTGGCCCTGTACACACATTCCCACACTTGCTTTCACTGCACTTATGGATGTTCTTTTAAGAGACTAGTAAACATTATCTGCATTTTTTAGGCAGGACACAGACGAGAACGGGCTGTACTCTGCAACCCTGATCTGTCCTTCTACCAACAGAGACACTTTTCCCATTTTCTTTTCTTTTCTGGTGCATCTTCTGACTGTTGCGACAGTAAAATACAATCCCTCTTGAAACTGTGTCTGTCTCAAGACTTAGAGGAGACGACTCTAAGTTCACTTTCTGCAGTTTGCCAGAAAGTAGCACAAGGAAATGAGCAGAAGATGACTGGGTTATTTTCAGTGCCAAGAAGAAGAAATAACACAGGAAGCACCAAATCATGAGAATCAGTTTCACTTTCCTATGAAGAAATTCCAGATGAAGTCACAGACACTGGAATTACGAACAGGAAGAAAGGCAAACAGGGAGAAAGAGAGGAAGACAATGCGATGAGATGGTGAGGAATGGATGGCTCCATCTCTTACATTATAAAAACTAAAAAAGACTGTATTATTTAAAAAAAAAGGAAAATAGCAAATTTTCTCTTTTCTAACCCACAAAGCACAGAATCACCCATCTTCAAAAATCTGAGGACTTTAACTAGAGCTTCATAAAACAGATTCCTAGAGAAACTTTCTATGTCTGACTGAGAAAGGGAATACTCAACTCTTTAACCCCCCCNTTCAGTATGCTGAAGATGAGAAGGGTCAGAGGAACTTTTTCCAGATATTTTTTGTTTTCAAGTTACATATTTTTTAATAATTAGACAAAATTTTATAAATCCAGTTATGAGATTTCAAACAAACAGAAAACTCAAGTGTACAGGTACTGAATAGTAGTACACACTCCCAAATATTACATACCATTTTCTCTTCATATGTAGGATCTGTTTCCTGGAGTTCTTTTTGTTTTGCCAGGGTTGCATCATCAAAAGATTCCTGAGATGAAAAAAGAATTAGAGAAAAAAAAAATCTCTGAAAAAGAAAATACCCATGTAAAGGAGAATAAGTTTCAAATTACATCAAAGCAGCAAAAGATGGCTGTGCCATCTGATGTGGATATACAGTAGTCAGCTTTCTATTATTTACTGTAAAATTACCTGGAGATGGATCAAAGATCCCTGCCACTGGGTGAGGGACAGAGCTGGGTCTCTGTAATCCGATTTAGCTCCATCATTAAAGCATCACATCAACATGAATGAGAGAGACAGCTGTGGTGCAGGAGCTCAGCATGCCCCTTCTAGGGTGCTGAGCCAAACCCCTCCTGAAGCTGGCTCTGCAAAGTACTGTGAAAGCACCAGCTCCAGGACTGAAGCAAGAGTAATTTCAAGGTTTTTTTTTCCTTTTTCCCGATTCTCCCTATCCCTCATCATTCTGTACCAAGGGAACAAATCTAAACAAGAATACAGACTGCAGTTTTCTCCTGAAAACTGAGTAGGAATTTAGACAAACTGTATTTTTTCCCTATGTAGTTTATTAAATCAAATGACTGTTATCACCAATGGTACCACTAACAATAGAAAATCAAGCTGGTTGGGAGGGGGCAGTCCTCCTTCATCTCTTTCCTGCCAAATCCTTAACATACTGTCTTCAATTACTCTTTGAGATCAGGGCTGCTTTATCCTTGTCTCTCCTGTTATTAGGTTAACTCTTTCCACACCATCTCCCACATGTATTTTCATCTTCTGCTGTTCAAACTAAAAGCAGTGAGATGATCCTTCCCTGACAAACAATGCTAAGACAACACCTTACAAAATAATTCCTGAAAGGGTGAGAAAAAGAAACAAACAGGATGCCTTCAAAACGATTACTAACCATCTGTTTAATTAAGCCAAGTCAGAATGGAGCTCAAGTCAATCTTTAGTAGCCAGTGTAGAACAAAGGAACAGGAAAAGTAAGAAACACACGAAACAAAGGCTGACAAAACACTGGATGTTTGTGGGCGGGTATTTCCTTGCAAACCTCTGGCAGGTAAGGCTCGTGGAAACAGAAAAATTCTAACCCAATTGTTTCTTTCACTAGTCAAAATATAAAGAATTGAGCATAAGAAGTTATGGCTAAACCTCTTCTGAAGTCATAACCAAATTCTCTTACTCATCTCTCACTGGATTCAGCCAACACCCAGTGAGCACAAGTACAGGACCTTTTGAACTGCTGTTCAAAACTCCCATTTCTTCCAAAATGCCTAACCTGAAAATCACGGAGCACCACGGCATCCGAGCTCATCATCTGCAACACAGATGACAAGAACTTGCCATTCAGCCGGAGACCAAGAAAAGCAGTCTTTCAGATGCTCGTGACTCTCAATAAGGCATTTCAATTTAAACTTCACTTAATGAAAGGAAATCCCTTCCTAACGTAAAAAGGAACCGACCTGGCCAGCACAGGGAGAGCCCTCGCACACGGGCGCCTCCAGAACACGCGTTTCACATCCTCCACACGCTTAACTCCAGCCTGGAATTGCCCTATTTCTGCAGGTTCGAACAGGATTTATTTCCCACAGTGCTCTGGCTACTTGTTCATCCGAAAAACATGGCATTTGCAAATTTATTTAGATCAAGTAGGTTGGACAGCCCAGCGTGACTCAGAGAGTACAAAAAGACCCAGCGCTGAAAGCAGGACCGACCAGTTTCCTCTTATCATTAAGGAAACAATGCTGCGATAGAATTAGCATCTCCGGGCAATCACTTTAAAACCCCTTGAAATTTCTGGAACACGCGCACCTGTTGCCAAAACAACCCCCTCCGACAACCCCACGTTCCCACCCCGCTAAAAAAAAAAAAAAAAGGGAAAAGAAAAAAAAGTTTTGAAGCACTTCAGCAGATAAGGACGGTGGTTTTTTGGAACCCGGGCTGGCTGGCCGCTGGAGCAGGAAGCGCTAAGGATGAGGACGGTTGCAGGGAGGCCGGCGGTGCGCGCGCGGCGAGGTCGGGGGAGCTCCCACCGGCCCCTTTGGAAAACAAACAACGGGAGTGACCCCGGCGCGGCGCCTCCTTCCCGATGGCCCCGCGGCTGGAAGAACGCGGCTCCCGGGCCCCCGGGATGCGCAGGGCTGCCGGGCCCCCTGCGCGGCGGGGACGGGGAGCAGAGGGTCGGGATCCCCTCAAACACACCCACCCACCCACCCATACCAGCCGCGCTCCCGGCGGGCAGGAGGGCGGGCGGCGGGCCCGGAGCTTGGCCCGGCGCGGCCCCACGGCCTCCCCTCCATTGTCTCCCGCGGCCCCACGCGGCCCGGGCAGTCCCGCACCTGCCTCCGGCGGAGCGGGGGGGGCTCGGCCGGGGGGGGGGGGGGGATGTTGAGGTGAGGAAGGCGACTCACCTCCATCTTGATGTCGTCGCCGGCCAGCCCGGCGGTGCAAGGGGGCCCGGTGCCCGCGGCCTCGCCGGGGCTGGCGCCGGGCGGCGGCGGGGGAGGCGCGGGCGGCTCGTCCGGCGGCGGCGGCTGCCCGGCGGACATGATCTACCGCGAGGACACGGCGCTCCGCCGCGGCTCGGGGCTGGCGGGCGGGCGAGCAGCGAGGATCCCGGCGGACGAGGAGGGGGAAGAGGAGGAAGAGGCGGGGGCGGCCTGCGGATCCCGGTTCCCGGAGCGCGGCCGGCGCAGGGAGCGAGGCCCTTCCCGGCCCGTCCCGGCGGGAGCCGCCAACCAGCGCGCGAGCCGCGCCGCGAGCCCGCGCTCGCGAGACTTCCCCCCCCCCCCCTTCCAACGCAGCTGCTGGCCGCGGGGGGAGCAGCGCCCGGCGCCGCCGCTGGGGGAGCCCAAGGGATACCCCGGGAAGGGAGGGGCTCCCGGCGGGCCCGCCCGGGTCCCGCAGGGGCTGCGAGGGCTTTCGGAAGCTGAAGGGAGGGAACGAAAGTAATCCTGCCCTCTCTGTGGCTTAGGGCTGCACAGAGGGGACAAGTCACCTGCGTAGTTCGAGTCTAGGTGGGAATCGGGTTTCATACCCTGCTTAAGAGTCACAGAATCCCAGAGTATATTCTGAGTTGGAAGGGACCACAAGGATCATCGAGTCCAACTCCTGGTCCTGCACAGGCCTATCCCCAAGATTCACACCATGTATCTGAGAGCGTTGTCCAAACACTTCTTGAACTCTGTCGGGCTTGGAGCTGTGACCACTTCCCTGGGGAGCCTGTTCCAGTGCCCAACCACCCTCTGGCGGAAGAAACTTTTTCTAATATCCAGCCTAAACCTGGCCTGACACAACTTCAGCCTTTTCCCTCGGGTCCTGTCCCTGGTCCCCATAGAGCAGAGATCAGTGCCTGCCCCTCCTCGTCCCCTCAAGAGGAAGTTGTAACTGCAGTGAGGGCTCCCCTCAGTCTCCTCTCCCCAAGGCTGAACAGACCAAGTGATCTCAGCCACTCCTCACACGGCTTCCCTTCAAGGCCCCTCGCCATCTTCATTGCCCTCCTTTGGATGCTCTCTAAGAGCTTCATATCTTTCTTATATTGTGGTGCCAATATATGATGTAGTCCAATTCCACAACAAAGACTAATAGGAGACAAGAAGAGGAGGCTCTGGTGTGACCTTATTGAGACCTTTCAGTACCTGAAGGGAACCTACAAGAAAGCTGGAGAGGGACTTTGGACAAGGGCATGGAGTGATGAGACAAGGGTGAATGGCTTTACACTGCTAGAGGAATATTGGGAAGACATTCTTGACTGAGAGGGTGGTGAGGCTGCCCAGAGAAGTTGTGGATGTCCCTGGAAGTGTTCAAGGCCACAGGGGATGGGGCTTCCAGCAACCTGATCTAGTGGAAGCTGTCCCTACCCATGGCAGGGGGGTTGGAACAAGATGTCCTTAAGGTCCTTTCCAACCCAAACCTTGGGTTTAAGAGTGGCCCCAGCGAGGCCTGGCCATGAGTGCACTCTGCAGGTTTGTGAAGCTGCATCTCCCACATCCCAGGAAACTACTGTAACCTTGAAGGCAGCAGCTAGATGGAGACCATCTCCGTGATGATTATGACAACCTTCATTCCATTGTTTTTTATTACAGACATTCTTTAACATTTTTTTGAAGTTAAAATTGTTAGCTTTGACATTTCCAAAAGATTGTGTCACTTCATTTCTGCCAAAACTACTCAGAAGAATAAATTCCCAGATATAAAAAAAAAATCTCAATTTTCCTAGAATAGGATTTCTCAACTAATAGCAAATTTACTGACATATTTTCCCACTCCTTGTTGTCATCTCTTATCACAGATGAAAACCCAGTCCCTGAGCTTTGCTAGAGGCTTTTCTCTCCATTCAGGGAGAAAGCTTTAAGCTTTGAATATACGCAGCAGAAAATGATACTTAATTGTATTAATCCATCCACCTATGATCTTCCAGCAGATCGTCCATCTGCTCTGCTTCTGCTCTGGCCCCCTGTCCTGGAGCTGCTTCAGATGATGCAGTGTTCTGCTTGTGGTAAGGAGTGTAGGTTAGAGTGGGAGGTGATCTACACTCTCCCCTCCCCATTTTGCATTCTTTTGTCTCTACTGCAAAGCACACAAACAAAACCACACGTGGAGGAATCACTGGTGAAGGAAAACAGGGTAGAAGGTCCCTGGGAAGAAATCGGGTATTTGGGAAGAGAGGTGAAGGTGTTTCAGCACCTTCGACACCATATCTTCCAATCAGACTGAAGTTAAGGTTTGATGGAGAAGGGAAAAAAGCACAACCTTCATCCAAATCTTAGTGATCCTTGGCCATCCAGCAAAATAAAACAGCACATTGTTTTCAGGGGTGGGGTGTTGATATATTTGTATGCCTGGTGTCAGAAAAGACTAACGTGGTATAATTCACCTCTACTTTATCAGGCACAGTAATTTAAAAAATTTAAAAGAAAAAAAATCTTTTTCCAAAAGTAAAAAGACAAAAGGGTCTAAATTTCTTTCTAAATTTTCTGAAATCCTGAAAGCAGAGCAGAAGACTCTGCAAAGAAACCCACCACCACCACCAAAATCAACAAAAAAGCCCACCCAAAAACCCCCAACCAAAGTGGGAAAGAGAACTCTCCAAGTTAACATGAAGATGTTCACGAACACACAAAATCATAACAGTCCACACAGAGCCCGAATATGAAGACAAGACCTTAAATTGAAAGCAACCATTGGTATAAAGAAGCTCATGACGGGGGTTATTAATGTGCTAAACACCAACATATGGTCAAATACACAATAAAGCAAAAAAGCCCTCCCTCAGCCAGTACCAAACTGTAGAGACAACTATTTATTAACATGCCTATGAAGTTAGTAAAGAATGGCTTAATTACAGATTTTTGTCAAATCTCCTGGGCGATATGTCTTTCAATTTTGTTGCTCAGTTGTGCAATCATAACTTTAATTAATATTCTTTGGATGGCTCCTTGTTAAACAAGAAATTGAAACACCACAAGTAAGAGCAACTCTGAGTGATGCTATTAGCTGTGCAGCAATTATGCTAATAGGCATTACTGCACATGTATCAACACTGTAAATCTTCCCAAAGTTTGGGAAATGAAAGGAATTAAATAGACGCTGTTTGTGGTCGCATCGTCAGATATATGGCAGGCACTTGGATGAGGAAAGGCAGGAGAGGGGTGAGAGCCTGTTTTATGTTCAGATCTTAGGGGGTTTTTTTGTTGTTTTTCTTAAAGTTTAGTTTGAAATGCAAAAGCAAAATACTACGCAAGTGAGATTAGATCCTGCCAGTTTTTCTGGCCACTCACAAGGCTGATGCTGAGCTGGACCATCCCATCACGAGTAAATACAATTAGGCCTATTTTTCAAAGCCATCACTTCTCTGTCACCATCATTTTTCTCTGGCCTCAGATTAATGGTGCTGCAGGCAACAGGTGATGTACACATCACACACTCGGAGTCAGCAGTCAAAGCAGCATCAGAATCATCCTATGCCTGCTAAAAACAACCACCAAAATCCTCTTCCCATCAGCAAAGGTCACTGTCATCAGCTTTATCAGAACTGACAACTCATTGATTTTTCACTGCTAAAACATAAAGACCTCCACAAAAAAAAAAACAACCAAACACAAAAACACAAAACAAACAAACAAACAAACAAAAAACCCGCATACAAACGATATTCTAATTTCAGTAGACTCCTTAATACGATGGAAACAGCATTTTAGAATTTACCACATGTAAGGAAAGTGATTTTACCACAAGCAAGTGGTAAACGTAATTGACAGTGGCAAACATTTCATCCATGTGCTCTTTAAATTTTGAGTACTGTGAAGATGACATTGAGGCTGTTCAAATTACGGTGTAAGCATCCTAGTCAGATGAATTACAAAACAAACAGTGAAAATTTGGTAACAGCAACATGGCACGCACAGACTGTCACAGCGTGTCAGACTGTGCTTGTGTCCAGTATAAAATAAGGCCTTTGAATACAATTTACTCATGCAAAAAAATGACCCTATATACAGTCAACTGCTAATACCCATTACAGAAAACCTCAAAGAATGAAGATTCTGTAACAAGCATGACTCTCACAGCAAAAATAAAACCTGAATAAAAAAAAAAAAAATGCTTTTAGGTTTTATTTGCATGCTGCTATGATCAAAAAGGTTCAGACCAAAGGCAAAAATACATTTTTTAAATAAGTAAAATACGTGTTTATATAAAAAAAATAATGTACAAACACTTTATTACACACAAAACTCCTTCCCTTTTCAAAACTCCAGGTTCTTCTCCCTCTCAGTGACCTGGTTCTGCCCTGGCTGTGTTTCCTTTCACCCATGAAGTTCACTCCACACCTTACAGCATGGCAACCAGAGGGAGGCAGTGCAAGGAAAGATTTCCTTGGAAAAGTCCCTTCCTCTATCTATTGGCACTGCAGTTAAGCCACCCGAATTCCTCCTGCTCCTGTCATTCTTAGAGCAGAAAAGGATTTTAAGAAGTTGGATATAAACCTGAACTTCACTAAGGGATAGGGATGAACCTGTAAAAGAGTTTTCTTAAGCAAGACTAATACTTTAACTTTTCTATTTTAACTCTATCTGCAATTCTATCACTTAAATTAGGAGTTCTAGTGGGATTCCACATTATCAATCTGCCTCTACACCCAAATTTCATACATCAAGGACTCTGCAGTAGTGTCTTAATCTGATTTTCAGGTATTTCTTGCCTTTCTCATGCTGCTTGTTTTCTTCTCAGTTGTGACCTGGGCCAATCCTCCCAATAGTGTTTGGATATTTAAATACTCATGGAAAGATTTGGGAAAACACTTTGACACTTAACTCACATTGACAAACATCTACTTTCCTGAAAGTATATTATCAGAATAAATAGGACATATTGGGGGTTCCAGCAGAGTTTTTATTGCAGAAATGGTGGGCTTTTCATGTGTGCTGTAGACTGTGCTTGCTTTGTGCCACATGCATTTCCCTGAGCCCTTGGCATTAGGCATGAATAGCTTTTTGTATCAGCCTCCAGCCACTGCTTTTGAGTTACCAGTTTGTATACATCATCTGAATTCCTTTCTGCATTAGTGATTATTCTGAATAATAACAGATTTCCTATGTTAAAAAAAAAACAACTTCTGCTCACTCACTAAAAACAGAGCAGCTATTATAAAATTATTTTTTTCTCAAACCTGCTTTAATTAAGCAGAGTATTTGGGGGAGGGGAATCACATCAGAAAGACACAGGAAATC